GGAGAATAACACTTCGTTTCTCATTTTCTTTCTGCATTTAGTCTTTGTCTGTCATGACTCTTCTCGGTTTGATTACTTGCATCATTGCCGGCCTGGACTCGAGTCGGAACTGTTGCTACGGTTGATGACGGATCGAATGCCTTCTCCCCTATAGTATTCGAACCACGTGGGAGACGATCAGATCTATTTGCAGTGATTTTATGTTGGTTTTTGCTGTAGGACTAACGCTAAAAGCACCTGCCACTGCTTGAATTGATGAATCGTTAATCTGTTGACACGTATTACTTATTGAATTGATGGATCTACYTTGGCAATATTGCTCGATGACCTAGGCGTTTGAACTKCTTTAYAGTTTGACTGAGTTGAACCATGCGCGATTGATTGATTGCTRTCTTCTTGCCTTAATGAAGACAAGATGAGTGGTAATTTAGCCCCCCTTTTTTAGACTGCTGATTGGTCTGTAAACTCATGGCTGTAGCTCCCTCGCCGCTATACCCGGAAGTATTTCAGGATGGAGTASAAGGTATGAATGAACGAGTCRGATTCACGAACTTGCCTCTTTTTTGAACTGATTGTAACCCTGTATTTTGATTGCATTGYGTCCCCTGTATTGCAGCGGGTATCTTGTCGCATCCTCTCCTTCTATTCCGSCGGGTCGGACCGAGCGAGACRACAAMGATGAAGACGGCAATGAAGCTCGTCGCCCTAATCGTGGCTTTGTCTTTCTTCATGAGCGYCARCCCTCGCGCGTCCATGGCGAAGGCCGYSTTCATGAGCGCCGCCCCTAGCGCGGCTGCCCCTAGCAYGGCTGCYGCTAGCGGGGCTGTCCCTAGTGCGGCGATGGCGAAGACAGGCAAGGACGCGAAAGTGTTCGAGATTCTTAAGAACGAGTCGCACTTTTCCATGTTCTACAAGGCGCTGGTGGATACCACRGAAATCTGGAAMGTGGAGGGGCGCACGGTGCTCGTCGGCGAGCAATTGATCCTGTTCGCTCCCACGAACGCGGCCTTCAGTACTGCGCTCAGCGAGGAGGTGATGACGTGTCTGCAAAACGAGCCCGGTCAGGCGACCCTCGCGAGTTTCTTGAAGTACCTTCAGGTTGTCGTTCCCAGCAATGCCACCGCCCCGCAGGTGAAAACTCCGAAACAGCTRCTCAAGGTGACCAAGGACGGCTTTCTGTGGACGGTTGGGGGCAAGGGCATCGCCGTCACCAAGGACGTGGATGGCTCGATCAGGCTGACAAGGGACGACGGAGTGGACAGCGTGACAGTCCAGGAAGCCAGACCCACAGACCCCACGKTGACGCTCATTCCGCTTGAGGACGCCGTCGTCGTCGACGAGGACGTGGGTAACACGATCTTGAGCATGTGTTTTGGCGAAGAGCCGTCCCAGTCGTCCACCGCAGCACCCTCCAGCGGCTCCCTCCCTGCGCCGGAACTGTCTTCCGAAGACTCGGACGCTGCCTCCTCGGAATCTGCGACGCACGTCGATTCCTTCAGAAGGCTGTGGGAGTTGCTTTTCTAAGGACATTCACATTTTCTGGACAGGTTTAGTTCGCCAACCTGCAAGTATGGCTTGCATTCGTTATCCTCTCCAGGTTTAGTTCGCCGACCTGCAAGTATGGCTTGCTTTTCTAAGGACATTCACATTTTCTGGTCAGGTTTCGTTATCCTCATTTAGAATGTATTTCATTCGACATTTCTTGAGGGGAAATAAAGGCATATTTATACATATATATATTCGTTGGAGTTAGAATATATATATGCAACTATTATGTATGCACTGAGATACGTTCCTTCACAAATTCGCAAAGCTCTTGGCCTCCACATCGAGTGGAGCCGCCATGTCAGCATTGTCAGGTTATAGCCCGAACTTGTTTCGGATGGTCATCTCATCTCTCCCTGGCATCTTCTGTTAGTGCACGCGTCGCTCAGTACCGGACTGAGAATCCAATGAGGAGTTGATGATAGCRTGAGGTGAAATAATAAATTATATGCGCCCTTTTGCAGGGCGCTCACTGAGGTAGGATTCRATTGTCGGTCGTAGGAAAAGACTTCAGAATCATTCGTCCATTTAGGCGGGACAGAGACACGTCATGCATGGTGAGCAGCACATAAAATGGGTGCAGTGTGGCCTCAGTATTGCTTTCATCCATGGCACCAGATCTTCCAGCAACGATAGTATGGTGCCCTCCCACTACCTTAAGAAGGGGAGCGTGGTTGTTTCAACGGGCCCTGGGCCGTCCTCCAATCGTTGTCGCCTTCCGTGTTTGATCGGCTAGATCAGTTACGGAGTAAAGATATGCTGCCCCTTTGATGCTTAAAGAAATGGGGAGTACGTCAAAGGGGTGAGGGACAGCGACAGGGACCGGCGTCGAAGGGTGGGTGGAGAGGGGTTCAGATGAATCCTTGAGGAAATAAGGGGCTCATCTTTCCGATGGGCAATTACAATTTGCGTACCAGTTCGTAAAAATAYGTGACGATTCTCTTGTGATAATCATTAGATTACCTCTTTCGGAGGTCTGCTGGGTCCATAATGTTTACCTCGTCTGTTTTAAGAATCTGTGTTTGCTCTTCACCGGATTTTGTYTCTTTCTTTTTCCTGCAACCAATACTTGAGAAAAGCAAGTGACTCGATTCCTTACTCTTTCCCGGRGATCCGCCGCCATTTCTGTTTTTTTTTTTTTTTTCATCCCGAATGAATGCTGCTTGTCTTTTTCCCTCTTTTTCCTCCTAGCGTCTATTTTCGGACTGCCTGTCCTTTCTGCTTCTTCTTCTTCTTCTTCTTCTTCTTCTTCTTCTTCTTCTTCTTCTTCTTCTTCTTCTTCTTCTTCTTCGTCGTCGTCGTCGTCGTGGTCGTCGTCGTCGTCGACTTCCTGTTGAACGCGCACGCACAAAGCGATGTCTTTCACTGATGTCAGCGGCCAACTATGGTCATATATATGCTGGAAAATGTCACGAGTATGTTTTTCTTTGTTTTCTCTTTCCTTTCGGGGTTCTCGTTTGCTTGCCTGGGAACTGAGAGTGACTGTTGCTGCATATGGACCGTTATTTATCTTTGTTGTTTCCTTCGAGCACTCAGATAGCCTGCGTTTCTCTGCGCCTGTTAATGCGGCATTGTCTGCCATCAGGCGGCAGTGTCTGCCATCTCCACTGCGACGCGGGTGTGCACACCATCGCCATCGCCCGTTGCTGATTCCGGTGTTCCATGATTGCTATTAAGCCGGTAGGGAGAGCGGGGGAAGGTTTTATATTCTGCCGGAGTGTCGCTTGATCTCGCAAAAGGGAAAACAAAAAGTGAAAAAATCTTGAAGAAAACTGGAAGACATTCACCTCTCCCGCTGTATAGCGTGCGGTACCTGGCCGCCTAGGAATCCATGCACCATAATTGCCCTGGGAGTCTGGGACAGCCAGATGCTGGTATTATGGATTTTTTGCATGCCCGAGGTACCGAAGGCGAGATCTCTACCCTGGAGAGGTCCCCGGGGCGCCCGGTCGGGTGGATTTTTCCTCGCAGTTTGGATTGCAATCGAGACGACGTGCATGGTAAATGTGTAAATCACTGTTCGGTTCCCTCAGCGCACAACTAGATAAATCCGTGATTTCCAGAATTGTGCCATTCTTGTGAATGATCTGTCTGTTGCTGCGGATTGACTAATGAGCTTTGGGCTGACATCGGGTGCATGCGGCGGCCATGGAGTTTGTTTTTCAATTCTCAGTCACCTATCGGACCTCTTTTGTGTACAACCGATCTCAGCTCCCGAGACCCGACCTCAGCTCCCGAGACCCTCCCGAGACCCGACCTCCCTCGCTTTCCATAGGAAACACGCTGAGAACGAGTCCACTGGTGGGACGTGTTCGTCACGCTCTCTCCGACTTGTCCAGCCCCTGCCAGTATCCTGATTCAAGATTCCATCACGKGTTCAGGCAGTCCGGGTTTGTCCCGCCCTACTTCAGCCCCCTTCCCTATCACGAGTTATGGCCTGCGATTGCTGCGTGGTGGCTGTTTCTTATGTGTTCGAGCAGGAAGAAACCTATAGCACACTCGGCTTCSTCGAGRAACTCCGCACAAAAATCCTTGGATTCCTGGAATTACAGGCCTTCTGTCTCGGGAMGGAACTCTGCGAGCCTTGCAGGAACAACGTGGCAGAACAGCAAGACACCCACTTCCTCCCACATCTGCATTACCTTYCTCAGGTATGATGTCGAGCCTGAAAGTGCCCTGCGCGCCAACGAGCTTGCAAGGGGCGGGAACCAAAACGGGACAGTTGTTGCTTGGCACAGGTGCTGCCCCTTAGGGCCACCGAGCTTGCAAGGGGCGGGAACCAAAACGGGACAGTTGTTGCTTGGCACAGGTGCTGCCCCTTAGGGCCTTGTTCGAAGCCACTACAAAATCCTTACTTTGTAATGGCGCCTTTACCCCGTTTTTCTTTCCACCACGTACGAAAACTCTACACGTTTTACGTGCCACCGTTTGCCTTCTAAGAGGCCGAAAGAGGAATCCAGATGTCCGRCCAGATGTCCGAACCGCAGTTGCGCCGGACGAAATCGTGTTTGCCACCTTTGGGCCAGTGGGACAGCCAGCCCTGCCTCATCCCAAAGCGAAGCGGGGCCGTGATCTGGGTGTGGCTGGGCGTGGGATGTCATCCGCCTGCGAAGAGAACGTATGCACGGACCCTCACCATTTGAATTCAAAATCTGTGCCACCAGTTTGCTTCACACACATTGCATTCTAGAGTCCTTGCGTGCGCGTTTTCTACGTTGCATGTGCCCTCTTTAAATCACCATTACCGTACGAACGTACAGGTAATATCTGTACCGGACCTGTCTGGGACTCTGGGAACCTGTAYGTCATCCTGTACATTTTGTATGCCCCCTTACGRAAAAAAAWAAAAAAWAAWAWWAWWAWWAAAAAATTGAAAACAAAATATGTTATGCAACAGTTGAATAGCACAATACAAACAATACTTGGTCGAGCATCATCTGCAGATTCTTATTAGAAATTGAGGGAGGGGGGGGACATTACTGGATTAAAAAAAAAATAAAAAAAATCGTACGGGCCCCTAATGTTCGAGTAAAAGAGTACGAATTTGTACTTGTACAAGGGTGCGTACAGGTGGCAACGTAGAAAGCGAGTTATAATTGCACTATGGGGCAAGATACATGGTACGGACTCATCCAGCTC